TCACCGGCTCAGGGTTGACTCAGCCTTCCATCCTTACGAGGTGGGTAAAATGAGGACCCGGATTGTTGTTGGGGGCAATATGCTGACTCTGTAAATTGCTTAGAGAGGGCTGAAAGCCCTATGAAGCGGTATACAAGTCTAACTGCTATTGCTATTGCTATTGCTAAAGTTCCTGATTGGCAACCAATTAGCTATGTGAAACCATGTCTGTTTTTTGTGATTTCAGGGTGACCATGCAGGATCTGGAAGCAACCTTAATAACAGTAGGTAGCTTTTGATATCTTCTTCAGCATGCCAGGCAGCCTTTCTGTACAGTTTTGCAGTTGCTTATTTCTGCAGCCTGTAATTGTGTTTGTCTTCCGGGAAGCAGATGAATTCCTAGCAGACTTCTTCCAAAACAATGTGTGGGTTTTTTTCAGTGGGCAGGCAGTGGGAGGCAAGTTGAGGAAATGTGGGTTTGGTAGGCTTCTCAATAGAATTGCGTCCATGTGCAGAAGGAATAGGGATGTGCCCATTGCAGTCAGATGCTGGTGAAGCCTCTCAAGGGATGGACAACAGGAGGATGCTAGATAACCCAGGGTGGGACATTTTGTACCTTTCAGAGTAGGCTGGTTCTTCTAACACCACATGACATTCTGCCCTCCTTGTCTCTCCTTTATCTTCTACTCTCTGCCTCTTTTCTGGAGGAACGTTTTACCCTCAATGTTGATGTTCATGAGTCTTCTGACATAGTTTTTAGATTTGTATATGTGGAGGTAAACAAGGCTTCCATTTCAGACAAGTGACTGTCCAGTCTCTTCTTAAAAACCTCCAGTGATGAAACACCCAAAACTCCTGGTGGCAAGTTGTTAATTGTTCTAACTGTCAGGAAATTTTTCCTTAATTCCAGGTTGCCTCTCTTCTTAATTAGTTTCCATCCATTGTTTCTTGTCTTGCCTTCTGTTACTTTGGAAAATAAGTTGACCTCCTCTTCTTTGTGGCAGCCTCTCAAATGCTGGAATACTGCTATCATGTCACCTCTAGTCCTTCTTTTCTCACGACTGGCCATAAACAAATCCTGCAACCATTCTGTCAAGCCTGCCTCCATTCAAAACTCAAGAAAGAAAACCCCCAACTCCACTGATTTAGGGAAGAGGTACTTTTACCAAGTTTGAAAAGTTAGCAGCGAAAGCGAGGAAGTTCTAATTCAAAACACTCGAAGGTTACAGATTGAAAGTCACCCAAATCCCTCCTCTCAGGGTCCAGCACTGGGAATCCAATCAACATCCACTATGATATTGTGAAAAAAACTGTCTTCAGGTATTTCTCCCATCTGGAATCTTAGGACAGTTTGCCTTGATGGAGTGTAAACAATTCCACCCAGCAGTGCCGTAATGCATGAGTGCAAACCTCCCTTTCAGTTCTCATGGGACTACACCAGCTCCCAAATACCCAAGGGCCCCTGTCCCCATTTTTATGGCAGCTAAAGCAAGCACACTGAAGAAACCCATGCTGGAGATCCAGCTGACACATTCGTCTTATATTTTAGTCTCCAGGGCCTTAATCAACTTAGTTGTTGTTCTTTGCACTTTTTCCAAGTCTCAACATCTTTTTCATAATGTGGTGACCAAAACTGGATGTAATATTCCAGCTGTGGTCTTACTAAGGAGACAAAAACCTGGACTTCCATGGCAGCTTTCTAATAGGGATTCTTTTTTAAAATATTTTTTTATTTTTTATTTTCAAAACAAACACAACACATCCTTCTTTACATGCTGTAGAAAGTGTATCAGTTGGTTACAAAAAGACTTTCGTGCATGCTGAAGAAGATATCAAAAGCTACCTACTGTTATTAAGGTTGCTTCCAGATCCTGCA